CGGAAAAGCACATCTAGAGTGGCAGGATACTTTTCCGCAATAGCACTTTTTGTGGAAAAGCATCCGTGGACAATCTAGACCCGGTTTTCTGCAAAAAAGCCCCGATCACCATTTTCGCGATCGGGGCTTTTTTGCAGTAAACAGTACTATGCTGTCTACACTGGCCCTTTTGCGCAAAAGTCTTTCGGAAAAAGACTTTTGCCCGAACGGGAGCAGCATAGTATTTCCGGAAAAGCACTGACGATCTTACACGAGATCGTCAGTGCTTTTCTGGAAATTCAAGCCGTCAGTGTAGACAGCTGGCAAGTTTTTCCGGAAAAGCTGATGATTTTCCAGAAAAACTTGCCAGTCTGGACACAGCCTTCATGTCTGTATGAAAAGATGTTTATGGCTCCTTTTTCCTCATGTTTTTGAGCTTCCTTTATTTCCCTTCCTCCTCGATGATGCTATTTGCTGCTTTGATATGGTATTTACCAGAGCACACATTGCTTGTTTTCAAACAGACCTGTTTGCCAACATCTGTTTGTAACCTTTATTAATAATAGCATACAGTGTCCTCTTCGAATCTCACATATCGTATTGCCACTCGTGATTTATGAGGGTGATACCAATAAACCAATTATAATTTTCAGATGATACATTGGCAGGTGTACTTTTTAAAGACTTCAAAATAAAAAAATAAACACAAAGACTTCACATAAAGAAATCAAGCCCCTCCACAGGCTACACCCTCTGAAATAGTAGACAAAAACACATCACCCATTGAAATATATATTGAAAATGTGAGAGAACCACTGCCTGTGCAGCTCACCAAAATTTGTAGTCACACCCATAACCTTGTCTAGGCAGCACAATCAGAACCAATTTCTGGGAACGGCTCCTCGATTGCACCACAACACTCTTTAAATTCCAAGTATTCTATTGCCATGAAACTCTTCGCTCCCACTGCTCCCACCTCCAAAGAAAGACACAGCAATAGCTCATGGTGTGTTTAATCTGCCTCCCAATTGGAATGTGCCCTGGGGATCCAGCTATGGAGTGGAACAGGCAGGAGTTAATATGGATTAGAATCTTGTTCAATTGTGGTGTGAGCTATGTGTGGTCTGGATCCAACTACAAATAGAAGATGGTGCATGAAAAAGCCCTTCCAACGGTGTCTAAGACAGGGGTTTAATTCAGGAGAGCCAGGGCTCTTGGGTCCTTCACACTTGCTAAATTTGACATCCTTCTGCTCTTGTTCTGTAAGGGAAATACACAGCCCTTCAACAATGGGAGAGGTTGAAGCAAGAACATATTCCCCTCCCTGAACCTTCACTGGCATTTTCTGAGGGATGAGGAAGGTTTCAGTGAAGCTGTACTGTCCGGTGTGACATCCCTAGAGGGCAAGGGCCATAAAGACCATTTTCTCCTCCCTAGCATAACTAGATTACTGAAGCAACAAAAGTGGTTGCTGCTAGCACAGTCTCCAATGGACCAATTTACTGGGCTGCACCAGTAGGGCACCCACTTCCCCGTCACACCACGCAAAACTTTTTAAATTCCATGGGAATGCGATACTATCCTATTGCCCTGAAACACTTCACTCCCGCCTCTCCTGACTCCAAGAAACACACAGCAACAGCGCATGGTGTGTTAAATCTGCCTCCCAATTGGAATGTCCCCTGGGGATTTAGCAGTGGAGTGGGCCAGATGGGAGTTAACCTAGATTAGAATCCTGTTCAATTCTGGTCTAATCTCTCTGAGGTCTGGATCTAGCTCCAAATCCCAGACAGCTCATGAAAAAGCCCTTCCAAGGGTGCCTAGGACACGGGTCAAATTCAGCAGAGCCAGGGCTCTTCTGTCAGTGACAGTTGCTAAATTTGATATCCCTCTGCTCTTGTGCTATAAGGGAAGAACACAGCCCTTCAGCAAGGGGAGAGATTTAAACAAGTAAATATTCCCTTCTCAAACCCTCACTGGTATTTGTTGAGGACAGAAGAAGGTTTCAGTGAGGCCATATTGCCCGGTGCGACATTCCTAAAGGGCAGGGGCATGAAAAGCATTTTCGCTCCCCTAGCATGAGCAAATTCCTGCAGTTGGACAAGTGGTTGCTGCTAGCACAATCTCCAACGGACCCATTTACTTATTTATTGGGCTGTAACAGCAGGGCACCTGCCTCTCCCAAACACCCCTTCTGGTTGGGTGTCTCTAGGCTTTAAAGAGTTCCTGCCCCATAATCGGGCCACACTCCAGGGAATCCCACCTGGAGGAAATGTTTTTGTCTTACCAGTGCCCCCCTGACCCTAACTCTCCAACTGGGCCACTAAGTACTTCAGATCCCTTTTACCACTGTCTAATTATAGGACTCTTTCTCTGTGGCCCAATTGCCACTCCAGTCTAGCAACCCTCTGAACAACAGTCGCACCGCACCATGTCCCTGTAACTGAACTGCGTCAATTTCCTGGCCTCCTGCACTCCGTGTCCCCAGACTGCACTGATGCTTCACCTTTACCTCAGGGCAAATGGACATTGAGACCCAACAGCTAGCCAGGAGCGCCTGCTCACTCCCCCACTTCTACCAGCACTGAGCTGTCCATGGTGCTGAAGTTTGTTTTAGCCAGGCAGGAGTTGAAAGGCACAACGCTGATTAATACTATGAAGTCTAGACTGGGATGGGAAACCTTCTTTGAGTTGGGGGCCACTAGCCCACCAAAAAATCAGTCCGGAAGCACACACAACTTAAAAGCAGAAAAAACCCCTAACTGTGGCCCCTGATTGAGCAAGAGAAAAACACTCCCTGTATTTACATTGTCCATCCGAGCCTAAGGTGGCCCAACCTACTAGATTTTGTGTGCTCCAGCCCCAGAGGTGAACAGGGGAGGGGTTTAACACCTGTGTGGGGTTCCCCAAAGTTTGAGAATTTTGAGCATCAGGGGCTGGATCCAGTTAACCCAGGGGCAGTATCCAGCCTCCAGGCCTGAGGTTCCCCAGGCCTGTTCTAGACCACTGACATCTATGATTCTATGTCAATATACACAGGTTTTCTGTAGATCCCTGATTTTTAGTACGATCATCTAAGAACACACAACACTGAACCTCACCCACAAATTACAGGTAGAACATCTCAATTACAAACCCATTCAGCCTTGATTTGAAGGGGTAAGTGGTATTTAATCCACCATGTCTCTTGGCCTGTTCCCCAGCTCATAGATGAACACATGCTCAGCTTCACGGCCATTGAGCATCTGACCTTTTAGCCACAATGGAGTTGTGCTGATTTATACTGGGTTGGGATGTGTCAAGTGACTCCAATGGAGAGACCTCCATGTACACAGGCAGAGAACCTGGTCTAATGGGCAGTGTCCATGTGATGGTTACACCATCGAGCATGTCTTTCCACGGCCACCAGACCTAGCAAAGTGTGGGAAAAACCTAAGCATTCTCACTGGGCACAAGATGAGCAATGTACCTGGTCTAGGTAGGATCTGTCGGCCTGTGTGCCATCACTAGAAGCCAGGAAAGAGTCCACATTCACTTTTCCAGAGCTGAACAAGGCTGCTGGGTAGGGCCAAGTGGCTGCCGTTGGGAAAATCTCCTTGTGAGAGGTCAGGCAGGCAGGGCTCGCCTGTATTACACAAACTGAAAAGATCTGGGAAGTGAAGGAAGGGAATTACTATGTGCAATGCCCAGGAGCAGCCAGTGTTATAAGTAGCCCATCTCACAAGATGAGAGTCAGGAAGGATCCTGTACAGAACAGATCCCAGCATGGAAGGGTGAAGGAATCGATGTTTCCCCTCTTCTGTGGTGTAATCTTCTCCATGGAATGTATCAGCTTTCCATCACTCTAACAAACTCACTTGCTCCCTAAGCCACAGCTGAGGGACTGGCGATGTTCCAGGGCAGCTCAGGAAGATGGGAGGCCATCATGCAGCATAGGGCATGCAGTGCAGTCTGAGAGGCTGCCCCAAGCCAGAGAACAGGGGGGATGTGCTACCATAGAGACCCCACTGGTATGTCTGAGCTGAACAACAAACTTTGATACTAAGTAAATCTGAACAAAAATGGAAATGTTTTTGTTATTTTTAGAGACCATTCTGGAATGGAAAGGAATGGGATGCCATAGATCCCTAGTCTAGAATTCGATAACTCTGACTCATATTGCATCATTTAATAACACTAGGAGTAAGGAGTGGGCAAAATTAACCACCAGGGCATGAATTACACCAATGGTGGCTTTGGTTCCCTGAGCTCATTAATGAGGTATTGTGTCTCTCTGAGTTCGGGTATTCCCAGGTGCTTGAGGAATAACATTCCATAGATCGCAGATCTCAGTATAAAACTTCCTGAATATGGTAATCTGGCAGTTTCTGTCAATGGGGAAACACCACCACGTCTATCTCTTCTCAGCAGGTACGTGCTGTTCTCCTGCATCATAGCACACATGCATACAGACAGCAGAGTGATCAGAAGGAATTGAATTGAAGATCCCCAGCACTAAATACCTGAGCTCAGATCCAACCCTTCAAACTAAAGGAAAAACCTCAGTGTTTGAAAAAACAGGCAATTAGAATGTCACTGAAGGAAACGCTTTTTCTGGGCTTTCCTACAGACGAAAGAACATGCCATTTTTAGGTGCCAAAAAGTGTCATGAGCACAGCAGAAAAGCTTAGCCACAAACTGAGATGCAAAGCTACAGAGCTTCCCTTGCCTAAAGAGGGCAGAGAGATTGACACTTGTTTATTCCAGAATTAAGCAATAATCTCATCTCACTGAGATGGTTTCTCCCTGATTCTTCCACACCAGGGCCGAACATCACTGTTGCTTGGATTAATGAACAGGAGTGTTCATGTGGGTGGTATGGTTAACCTGCATGTCCTTGTATTTATACAGTGTGTGCATTGTATGGAACACCTGGAAAGATCAGCTGTGAACATCTGGCTCTGTGGACTAAGTCCTTCTTTTTCATCACTTAACTTTGGTACAAAAAAAGGATAGGTTTCCAGAGCCATCCACCTGAGGAGATGGAAGAGGGAAATCACTCCGTGGTGACTGAGTTCATTCTCTCAGGACTGACAGATCATCCAGAGCTTCAGGTCCCTCTATTTGTTTTGTTCCTACTGATTTATTTTGTCACCCTGGTGGGGAACGGGGGGATGATCTTGTTAATCACGATTGAACCTCGACTCCACACCCCCATGTACTTTTTCCTTGGTAATTTGTCTTTATGTGATTTCTGCTATTCCTCGACAATTGCCCCGAAGATGATGCAGAATTTCTTAGCGGAGAGGAAAAGCATTTCGTACACTGCCTGTGCCGTGCAATTGTATTTATCTTTCCTTTTTCAAGATATTGAGTGTCTCTTGCTGGCTGTGATGGCGTATGACCGTTATGTGGCCATCTGTAACCCGCTGCTCTATACAGTCACCATGTCCAAGCGGCTTTGTAACCTCCTGCTGGCTGGGGTGTTTGCAGTGGCATTGATGGATTCAACTATGAGCACCTACTATATATTTCGGCTATCATTTTGCCGCTCTAACATCATCAATCATTTCTTCTGTGACACTCCCCCGCTGCTGGCACTCTCTTGCTCTGACACACACATCAATGAGATTTTGATGCTTGCCTTTGCATGCTACGTTGTAGCGAGCAGCATTGTGACCATTCTCCTCTCCTATATTTGCATCATCTCGTCCATCCTGAGGATGCGCTCTGCTGAAGGCCGGAGAAAAGCTTTCTCCACCTGCACTTCCCACTTGACTGCTGTGGGCATTTTTCATGGAACTCTTCTCTTTATGTATTTCCGACCCACCAACAGCTATTCCATGGACACAGACAAAATTGCCTCCGTGTTTTACACGCTGGTGATCCCCATGTTGAACCCCCTCATCTACAGCCTGAGGAACAGGGAGGTGAAAAGCGCTTTGAAGAAAGCAATGAATAAACTCCTGACCCATTCTTAAATCTTGTTATCTCAATCTAAACTTTTCTTGGCACTGAGGTCAGTTTTATGATGTGTTTGCAAGGGTGAAGTGTGTGATTTTTATAGCTGAACCAAAGGGAGATTTGAACACCCTCCTTATACTCTGCAGCTCTTTATGTTTTCTGTTGGGTGGTTGTAGAGATTGTCATTTAGTTTCTGTCCATGCACAAGGAGGAGAAAGGTGATTTCCATCAGAATGTCCTTTATTGTAAGCTAAGGGCATAGCAAAACAAATAAGAGCAGAGGTAACATTTCCAAGAGAGAGCACGGTGTGGGTGCCTACTCTCTGAGGGTATGTCTACACTACCCTCCTAGTTCGAACTAGGAGGGTAGTGTAGACATACCCTCAGAGAGTAGGCACCCACACCGTGCTCTCTCTTGGAAATGTTACCTCTGCTCTTATTTGTTTTGCTATGCCCTTAGCTTACAATAAAGGACATTCTGATGGAAATCACCTTTCTCCTCCTTGTGCATGGACAGAAACTAAATGACAATCTCTACAACCACCCAACAGAAAACATAAAGAGCTGCAGAGTATAAGGAGGGTGTTCAAATCTCCCTTTGGTTCAGCTATAAAAATCACACACTTCACCCTTGCAAACACATCATAAAACTGACCTCAGTGCCAAGAAAAGTTTAGATTGAGATAACAAGATTTAAGAATGGGTCAGGAGTTTATTCATTGCTTTCTTCAAAGCGCTTTTCACCTCCCTGTTCCTCAGGCTGTAGATGAGGGGGTTCAACATGGGGATCACCAGCGTGTAAAACACGGAGGCAATTTTGTCTGTGTCCATGGAATAGCTGTTGGTGGGTCGGAAATACATAAAGAGAAGAGTTCCATGAAAATGCATTGGACTGACTACAAATAGCATAGGAATGGTGAGTTTTCTCCACAACATCAGTTAAAAAGCAAGTTAAATTATCCATGTTTGTTTTTTGCATCCGTGTTACACTGTTGATTCATAGTGGCCCACTGGCTATATATGACCTCTAGATCACTTTCTACACTACTCCTTCCTAAACAGTAATTTCCCTTTTTGTGTGTGTTCCTTCCTAAGGGAGCTGATTGTTCCTTTCCAAGGAAGCACTTTGCATTTGTCCTTCTTGAACTTCATCCTATTTTCCTATAATAATTTCGACAGTTTGTCCAGATTATTTTGAATTCTCACATTACCCTTCAAGATAGTTGCTCTCCCAGCTGGGTGTCATTTACAACGTTTATCTGGCCATTCTCTGTAGCACTGGTGATGATATTAAACAGAACCTGACTCAGAACTGACCCCTCATTGTGAGACATTTTGGACACTGTCTTTTATACTGTCCTGGAACTTTCTCAGAGACTGTCAATGCCAATGCTGTAAGTCTATCTAAGTTACACCACTTCATGCACATAGAACTCAGTTTGACTTACGACAGACTCCACACCATACTGTGTTAATGGGAGCATTGTGTAACAGAAGTAGTGCACATTCAATCCCCTGACGGCACCAGTGCAGACCAGCCTCGATAGGAATCTGTGACCGAACATAGACTCCGAGGGATGGGAAGTACAGACATTGATAGGCAAGTGCTCTCCCATTGACTAAACACGTCTATAACATGCTTGTTAATAAATATTGCTTTGTTTATCCCAGCAGTCCAGATTTAGCCAGTGGTATAGCTATGACCTCAGTCTCCTCTGTTACAGCTGTTATGTTGTAAATAAAACACAGGAAGAATAAAAAGAATGATTCTATAGACTGATTACTTGGGGAACACATCTAAAGAGTGAGATGCTCAACTTCATGGTTTTGTTCCAATGGCTATTTAATTAGGTAGACCAACTCTGGAAGGAGAGGTTGAGAGCATCTCCGACCTGAATAGCAGATTGCTCCCCATCTGGGATTCTTTCGCGAAATACAGGAAATCCAAGCCCACATCTTTGTCCAGAACTAGATAGAAGTAGGAAGTGAATCTTAATCTCCCATCTTAGTGGTGAACTTCCCAATACTGGGCAAAAAATTACAAAGGGGGGATGCAACCCGCTCCCCCCACCTCCTACCTTTGGCTTCTCCCCACCTTCCATCCATGGTTTTGGGACAAAGCTATTGTAGAATTTCTAACATGTCTTTGAAAAGTTTCAGGTCAACCAAAACTGCATTGCTTTGAATAGTACATTATTGCCTCATAAGAAATTCACTCATTTCTAGAGTCTTTTGCATCATGGTTGTTGCACCTCATGTTGACAACCAAAAAAATGGGTTACCGAGACTTGGATTTCAAGTCCATTTTTAATCTTGGAACTAAAGGACATGGGGAGTGGACCCAAAGAACTGTCAAACTGGGTGATCTTAGCTTCTGTAGGCAACATTAATGAATTGATAAGGTGTTCCCGTATTTGTTGAAGCATATTGTAAAGGTAGATACATGTGTTACTCAGCCTCCATATTCACCATAAATACATTTTTTAATGACCATAAGTTTTTGCAACTATATTTCTATTTTCCACATTCATTGATGAAAAATTAACATCTTTTTTCAGAATACTGGTATTGCATGAAATAAAAAAAAATATTTTCTTCTGTACACTGTGTAAGTGACTCATCTCATTTCATATGCCCAGAAGTAGTGTTTTCCAAAGCATTTACTAGTTCATGGTACATCTGGACAAATATGAATACAGGCAGTCCCCGACTTACGCGGATCCAACTTACGTCGGATCCGCACTTACGAACGGGGCTTTCTCGCCCCGACCTCCGGGGCGAGAAAGCCCCGTTCGTAAGCTGCTCCGGTGCCCCTGGTCTGCTGGAGACGGTCTCCAGCAGACCAGGGGCACCGGAGCAGCTTACGAACGGGGCTTTCTCGCCCCGACCTCCGGGGCGAGAAAGCCCCGTTCGTAAGCTGCTCCGGTGCCCCTGGTCTGCTGGAGACGGTCTCCAGCAGACCAGGGGCACCGGAGCAGCTTACGAACGGGGCTTTCTCGCCCCGACCTCCGGGGCGAGAAAGCCCCGTTCGTAAGCTGCTCCGGTGCCCCTGGTCTGCTGGAGACGGTCTCCAGCAGACCAGGGGCACCGGAGCAGCTTACGAACGGGGCTTTCTCGCCCCGACCTCCGGGGCGAGAAAGCCCCGTTCGTAAGCTGCTCCGGTGCCCCTGGTCTGCTGGAGACGGTCTCCAGCAGACCAGGGGCACCGGAGCAGCTTACGAACGGGGCTTTCTCGCCCCGACCTCCGGGGCGAGAAAGCCCCGTTCGTAAGCTGCTCCGGTGCCCCTGGTCTGCTGGAGACGGTCTCCAGCAGACCAGGGGCACCGGAGCAGCTTACGAACGGGGCTTTCTCGCCCCGACCTCCGGGGCGAGAAAGCCCCGTTCGTAAGCTGCTCCGGTGCCCCTGGTCTGCTGGAGACGGTCTCCAGCAGACCAGGGGCACCGGAGCAGCTTACGAACGGGGCTTTCTCGCCCCGACCTCCGGGGCGAGAAAGCCCCGTTCGTAAGTGCGGATCCGACGTAAGTTGGATCCGCGTAAGTCGGGGACTGCCTGTATGTGGATCTTAAATTATTTCTGCCTCCCTTTGGCCATGTCTGACTGGGAGTAACTGAACTTGCATCCCTTAGTGCAGGGTTCATAAATATTTGTAGCTCCTTACATGGCCCTCAACAATGGCGTGCCTCCGAGCACCTCAAAATCTTTATCGTATTTATTGTTGCTTATTCCATGTTAGGAGGAGCAGTATCATTTCTAATTTTCAGATGAAGAGCTGAGGCTCAGAGAAAGTAAATGTGCAAACTTTAAAAAGCACAGAAGGAACAGTCGTGTAAAATCTACAGATAAGGGAGGGGTGAATCCACCCCTCATATTATACAGTTCTGCAACACTCTTCAGATTCACCATGTGGGTCTCACAAATGAACTGATGTCATCTCTCATAAACTCCAGGCCTGAATTTTTAAATATTCAGGGAAACTGGCTGGATTCCCTATCTGAAGATACACTGAAAATTCAGGATGCTGCCATCAACTTACCTCATACTTTACTGGCACCTCAACCATGAGACCTGTCTCAGGGGTAAGTGGTATCAAATCCACCATGTCTCTTGACCTATTCCTCCGCTCATGGTTGAAAACATGTTCAGGTTCACACCATTTGAAGATTTGAGCCTTTGGCTTCAATGGAGCTGTGCTGATTTACACCGCCTGGAGATCTGGCCAATGACTCCAGTGGAGACACATTCATGTACACAGGCACAGATTTTAGTCTAATGGGCAGTGTCGTTGTTATGGTTACACCATTAAGCATCTCTGTCGATGTCCATCAGACATAGCACAGGGCAGAGAGGCCATGAGCATCCTCAGTAGACACAGACTGAGGACTGTCGCAGGTTTAAGGAGGCCCAATTTCCCTATGTGACATCACTACAAGCCAGGGGAGAATGCACATTCTCTTTTCTCAACCTCAACAAGGTTGCTAGGCAAGGATAAGAGGAAACTCTCCATATGGGAGGCTGGGTAGGTAGGGCCCATCTCTATTTCAGGAACTACCAAAACTTGGGACCAGTAGGAAAAGAATTGCTATGTGCAATGCTGTCATGATTATGAGGGTTAGCCAGCAGCCTGGGGATTAAGAGGTTAACTACACCTAGCCAGGTGGAGTGACCAGTAGGAATGTAGGTGGGACTTTCAAACTGGGACAAAGGAATTTGGGTTTTTTTCCTTTCTCCCTTTTGTCTCTCTGGGTGTGTTCTCTGCAGCTACAGAGAGGGACAAGCATGTCTCTCTCTTTCCAAGACACCATTCTTCATTTTCTGTAAGTAGGGTAAAGTTTAGGTAGTTTCGTTAGGCTTTTTTGTTTTAAGGGTTGGGTATGGGATCTGAGATCTGGCACTGTTTAAAAGATGTGGCTTTTGGCTTTTCTTTGTAACTAAGTTCTAGGCCCATGGAGTTTCTCCAGGAGTATATTTTGTTACCTTCCTATCTAGTCATTATACTTGCAACAGGAATATTGTTGTAATAATAAAAGTTCTTTCTTTTCTTTTTATTAACCTGGAAGTGGTTAATTGTGTGCCCTGATTTTTATTTTAGGGGTGAGATTTCCCAAATGATCTTTCCCCTGATTTCTTTATCAACATTTGGGTGGTGGCAGCGGAAGTTTTATTCCCAAGATCTAGGTTTTTAAGATTTTAGGGGAAGTTTTATACCAAAGCCTGGTAGATAAGGCTTTGGGGTACCTAAGCTTTACCCTACTTACAGAAAATGAAGAATGGTGTCTTGGAAAGAGAGAGACATGCTTGTCCCTCTCTGTAGCTGCAGAGAACACACCCAGGGTATGTCTACACTACCCCGCTAGTTCGAACTAGTGGGGGTAATGTAGTCATCCGCAGTTGCAAATGAAGCCCGGGATTTGAATTTCC